CAGTTCGGCAAAATTTCAAACGCATTAAATCATGAATGGTTGATTGGCTGAGCGTAACTTCACCGATACGGTTCATCAAACTTCTCGCAACTACGCTATTAGAACCTTGTTTCGCGAACAGGCGTCAACGTCTTATGTATTAAACAATGTTTACGCCTCTGCTTATATCAATTTCCCTGCACCGCGACCCGATACATAGATAGTGTCTGTCTGTTTTCGGGATTCACAACTTTGTAATCTTTCGCTCGACAATAACCCTCGAGTAATTGGCTATTAACTGTAGCAAACATAGTTTACAGATTGATGGAACGTGGAATCCATAATAAAAGATTGAAATTGTTGTACGAAGAGTATGCTGGAAAATAATCTGTTTAAATAAATATCACGTCGGGCACGAGGAGATGGCGGTTAATTGAAATTAAAAATTAAATAGAAATCAAAAATTAAAATCAATTGATGACGAAAGTATTGATTGTTGAAAAGAAGTAAAGCGGCTTAGAAATTAAAATGTGAAGCGTACGTTGAAATGTAACGCAATTAAAACAACTTATGTACAACTTATGAACAGCCGACGAATGATAATGTTTCTATTTAATCAAAGATTTCTTTAATTGTGAAAATCGCGAGAATTGTCGTGACACACGGATTCGTGGTCTCAGAAGTCGACGAAATTTTTACGGTGAAATATGGAAAGTATATAATATTCGTTTCCCAATATATATTTCTACTCGAGCTTCGTTTGTTCGGTTACGTTCGCAGACGTACAAAATTGCCCGAGTATCCGTGGCGTGCGCGGCGATATAAATATTTATCGACGGTATGGTTTCCAATTTCCTAGAAAACCTGGCAGAGAAGAAAATCCCAAAGAGAATGGCGAAGAGATTATAATACGAACGATGGAGAGCGCGTTCGCCGGTTTATCTTATGATCGGGCACGTTTAATAGCCTCTGGCTGAATAATAATCGCGTTTCTTGCGATACGGGTTTTACGAAGTTGCCGGAGGGTTGGGGGGGGGGGGGAGCGGTGCATTCGAAAATGTAAAAACAACGGTGTTTCGATAAGGAAACACCGAGGGGCGAGTGGCGTTGATATCGCGAGTGGAAAAACACGGGACGAAGAAGTTCTTTCATTTCGTTCGCCTGCGTACCTCCGCACAAAGAACCAGAAAAAACGCTTTCTTTGCGACCTTGCCCCTGCGATTTTCACATTGTCGCGAAATATTTCTGTTCTTTCGCTCGCCAGGGTGCAAAAACAACGCGGAAATTGTTGCGAACACCTGTTGGAAGTATAAACGACCGAAGTGTTTCTCTCCCCGTTGATTTTCAACAATTTGTCACGGTAGACCTTTTCGGGAAGAGAGAACATGGCGTCGCTCTACTCTGTGTCGCGCCGCTTGATTGTGCAATCAGAGCATTATACACGAGCCAGATTGATCGAACGCCGTTAATATTCAATCTCATCGCAGGAATACGCGATTAACGTTTTACTCTGTGTCGGGGAACAATTTACTTTCGTGAATTTATTTATTGCAAATTTGAAAAAAATTTGACAAACGTCGTTCGTGCTTTTTAATTCGGTGGAGTTAATTGCCGTGGCTTTTGAACAGTGAAGGGAACAACTGTAATAATTTTACATTTGTCTTGTGAATAATTTTTTATTTTATCATTTACGGTGAAGTAAGCAGAAAATAAATATCGCAAGTATTTTGCACGACTAGTAGTAATGTTTATTTTTTGATTACTTTATTGCAAATGACAGTAGATAATTATTTAAGCGAAAAATTTACAGTTATCCTCTTCACTGTATATAGAAAAACTGTATGGAAATAATGTCAGACTGAAAGTAGTGTTTATCAAGGATTGAAGAAACTTGAAGCAAATCGACGTGATGTAATCGCAAACTTGAAAGAGGTTAAGGGACGTGTGTAGAAACTGAATTTGTTTCTGACTGATATCAATGTTTACAAAATAATTAAAAATAAAATGATCTATCTCCCACGTGATTTGCCCTCTAGGGATACTCTGAGATGCATTACTCAGGAGCTGGAATCAGTTCTCTGAATGTTCGAGCATGCCAATATACCACAAAGCCATAAATTACCAAAATCATAGCCATCTTCCCCAACTCCAGACATATTCGCCTAGATTCAAACTCCTCGATTTCCGCTTCCAAAATCTATCGATCAGTTACCTTGCGTCAAGAAGCAAACCCGTTTGCGTTCTTTGAAAAATATCGAAGCCAAGATTTATGAAAATTTCATTAAAATGTTATATACATGTGGATTATTAGATTATTAAGATAGATTAAATAATATTACCAGAATACCAGTTCCTACCGCGATTAATAGATTAGGGTAAAAAAATAGATGTAAATGTAGCCCATGATACAGTGAAAAGACAAAGATGTAAGCTGGAAGACATCCTAAGTCTAGTAGTCAAGGATTAAATAAAAATAAATAAAAATATATATATAAAAATAATTTATTTCAAAAATTGGAGTATATATACCCCAATTGTATTATATACTTTTAATTTATAATTTCAAAAAAATACTTTACCGTATTTTACATTTTCAGAATACAATTCGTCGTATTCTACATTTACTGAAAACTTACTTACAGCTTTGCTTTAACTGTTACATTATTACTGTTGCAATGAAATAATCAGAGAGTGAAAGACATATAAAAGTCACGCGACGTCGGTGGACGCTCTATTATTTATAGATCTCCGAGGTGCACGACACTGAAGAATAGGAATTCCAACGCGAAATAAGAGGACAGGATCCGAAAGAACACGAGAAACGAATAGAATTTTTGAATATTCAATCCTCTGAATACCTCTACGGCGGAAGAATGGCATTTGTTGACTGATTTAATGGAGCCAGTGAGATTCGTTCCACGGTGATGCGCGCGATTCTTTAAGGATTTGCCGGATTTGCCGCGGCAGGGAGAAATTGCGTAAAGTAGAAATAGCAGCAGTGGCGGAGGCGCGGCGCGAAAGAAAAAGCTTGGCAAGGAGCGAATAAGAAAAATCCAAGAGTGGAATGATATTACGTAAGGTTATGGCGTGCACGGTGGCGTACGTAGCGAGAGACCGTGCGAGAGAAGTTCTCTCATTTCGCGATGGAGAAACACTCGTAGGGAAGTCAAATTCAGCGTGGCGACTTTGAAAGTCGTAAAGAATATCATTCTCGTTGCTTTGTGTGTGGCAGAGAAGAGCACAAACAAAGCTGCGTTTCTCTGAGTTTGGAAAAAATTTTCATTTCTTCTCCGCCCCACTCTGTTTCTCTCCAAAAATCAGAAAGAACATTTCCATCGGCCATATATGCGCCGGTTTTTCTTTTTTTTTTTTTTTNTTTTTTTTTTTTTTTTTTTTTTTTTTTTTTTTTGACGGACATAACGTTCATTTGAGCGCACGCGAGAAAAAAAAGAAAAAAAGAAACGAAACAAAATACCAGATGAACGTGTACCGAACTCGTTTAACTTTTGTTTACCGAAAAATCAATGCTCGTCGTGACAAATCGCTCGAAAGCTCGATGTTTGCCAACTGAAACTGTCAGATATCATCAATCCGCGATAATCGAGACGCGATACTGATTGAGAAATTTATGTTTTTGATCTTTCGAGCGCGAGACAACGACGTTTCGAATTTGTTAGAGAATAAAAGAGCAAGTTATTTGGGATAGAAGAATATTTTGACTCAGCGAAGTAATTCGTTCACGTATAAAAAGTTAAATAAATGAAAAGTTAGTAGCAGCGTGATAAGCAACGAAATAATATCGAGCAATATTCATTATAAAATAATTAAAATAGAATTAATATTTTTAATTGTAACTGTCATAATTCAGTACTTTACTGTAATATTTTATTGCTGAGTGTCATTTTGTCGTTTATTATTTTTCATATCATTTTCCCTGCTCGGTTTCAAGTACAGGATATTAAATTCGATTATTCTTCTACTTCTAGTACTTTATCGTTACTATTCATTGCTCTTCTTCTTATCGAACTGTATCTACGCAAAATTATTGAAAATCTATCATGTAACTTATGTTGGGGAATAGTGTAATTAGAAATTGAACGAAGTATCGGTTGTGTAGGTAGTTTAAGGTAAATCGTTAGCATTAATATCGGTACATATTACCGACTATTAACGGCGAATGGGTCGACGTAATTACACGAGGGTCGTGGCCCGACACTGGCCCAGCAGACGTTGACTCGTACTACTGTGCCACATGTGAGCCGCTAGTAAACGAAATTCTCTCTGTTATGATATATATCCAATACAGATCGCTATTCTCGGATTATTGCACCCGATCTCTCGATAAACCGATTACTTGAATTTTCATTCGGAGTTGAAAAGCGACGTCTGACATTTTTTGAACATCTTCCCCTTTATTTATGGACACGACAGTTCAGTGCACTATCTTGTCAGATTCTTTTTGCAAAATGAAAATTTGTTCACAGTATTATTGTTCGTTGTCTGTAGTTTGATCGTTATAAGAGTCGTTATAAGATAATTAGTGGTAATAATTTATTGAATGAATTTCGATTTTGTTGCCAAGTTTATTGATTGGAAGAACTTTTTTCTTCGACAAGTAGATCAACTCAATGGTTTAACCTAGTGATCTACATTCTTTCATAAAATAGCAGTTCAACCGCGTTGAGTCGTATGAATCCACTTATAATATCTATAACACAAATAATTATTATTAAATAATACATAACCTATGACATGAATAATTATTATTAAATATTATTTACAAATATTCTTTAAAATTTGTTGCGCTTGATCGGTTATATTTCTAAAAGAATTATTTTCTATCTTTTTTAAATAGTTATAGTGTAGCATTTAGTATATAAATACAATATTTTTTGTATATATATATTACATATTTCAAATTATTACATTTGTCATATTATTTTATATAATGATTTATAAAGTATATTGTTACCAATAAAGTCAGCAAAGTAAAAGTCGGTATACGTATTTTCTGATTGCAGGTGCAATTTTCGAGCAAGGCGCCGACGAAGTTCAGTCAGCCTTCAGATTTGCGATGTTCAACCACAACCAGAATACCACGACCCGGAAGTTTGAGTTGCAGGCTTTCGTGGACGTAATTAATACCGCGGATGCTTACAAGCTATCTCGCCTCAGTAAGTACGAACTTTCGTCTATCGATCAATTCGATCGATAATATCTATCGATAATTTTGTATTTGAGAGCCAGACTAACCCGAGCCTTTCTTCTTGCTTACCAACAAAATTGCCCGATAGAAAAACAATCAAAATTAAAAATTCTTGCTTTCATGCGCAAAAATCAGAAAACTGTTTTACAATTTGCTGGGGAAGGATCTTTAAGAAATCAAACGATATTTTGTGCTTACAGAAAATCTGTAAAGTGTCTGTTATGAGAGACTACGCATGTTAAAAATTTAAAAATACAAAATATTTGAATGGAGGTGTGTTCGTGTAACTTAATGAAGACTTTCAATCGTGAATTGGTTAATCTGGCTTCGAACTACAGAATTACACGTGTCCATCCCAACATCGGTAATTTAGAAAATCGTCAAAATACAAAAACACACAGAAATGGTTAATACTCAATTTAGAATGTAGTTAATCGATTTCGCGCTAGAAAAATTCCACACAATCCACCGGGTGGATCTTCGGAACTTTGCAATTCAATTATTGATAGCCAGAGCAACCAGCAAACTAACACGCTCTTTCGTACGATGACCAAGCCGGAATTATATTTCCCAGAATCGCGTAACTTTTCTTTCGCGCTTCGAAAGCGAGAATTATTATCTAACTTGTTTGGAAACTGCGTTCGAGTCGCCAAGGAGAACCTTCGATAGATCTTAATAACACGATCTTCAGGAAAAATCGGTGTGTGTGTGTGTGTGTGTGTGTGTATGTTTACTAGGAAACATGAGTTTTTAAGCTCCGATGAGTTTTTAAACGTAGCCCAGAAGTAGAACACAGTAGGGCGTGGAATATCAGAAATCGATGTCATTTTGTTTGCGATATCTCTGGTGTATCAGATACGTTGAATGATCAACACAATGGTGAGACCCGTACGTGCCGGAAACATGACATCACGCTCGCCATTGAATTTTGGCGCGGGTTGGAAATGGTTTGGCACCGCGTGGCCCAAGTAAGTAACGTTTCGACGTCACTGGAAAGATACTAATCTCGTTCCCTCATCGAAACACCTCTATTTCTCGTCTTTGGAAGTCATGCACGTATGACACGGAGCCACAAGAGAGAGAGAGAGAGAGAGAGTGTGTGTTTGTGTATGTGTGTGTGTGTTTTCTTATCGCGTCGATCGTGAACAGGAAGCTTCCTCGTGGATATTACATCCTCGATGCTTTCGATAACACGCATCGATACTCTGCACAACAGATTGACACGTAGAATAAAACGTGGAATAAAGCAATATTCGATACGAGAAACGCATGACTCTTTTTTTTAATATTTCGCGTTGAAATTCCAGAGTGTTGTACGATTTTTAAATAAAACGATAGATGTGGTTTATAATTGATTAATTCAATATTGCAAATCGACCAATTACGGTCGCTTTGTAACTATAGAATACGAATGTGATAATAATTAATAATTAATCCCTTTGGGGATTAATATTAAAATTATTATTAATTACTTTTGTAAAATCAGATAGTTCGTTTGATCAAGAGATTGTACAATCCGTTGGATTTTTGTGGAATACGAAGATGTATTCCATATATTGAAAAACTTCTTTCATCGTAAAAGATTAATTTCTTCTTCGTTTTTCTTAATACGTTGTCTCTAAAAAAAATTTTTTTTGAACATCTTTATCGTACGTACGTATATTCTAGAATTTCATAGTCAGACAAGAATTTGTTGCTAGCATCTTCTATATTGGAAAATCGAATTACAGAATTTTACGACACGTCGGTATCCTTCTCAACCGCTAATTTCATTAATCAAACCGCTAATTGTTCTTCGAACTGGTGGATCGAACACGTACTCTCGATCTGTTGATTACGTTTGATTGTCCAATCGGTAAACTCTAACATCACTCGGGATAAATTCGCTCGGTGGACGTGATTATCGGTGGAAAATCGGGGACGATGGTCGAGACAAAACAGCAATCGTCTTTCAACGGTGACGATGAAATATTTTTGCGGCAACAGACACTCAAGCCTCTCATGATTTTATTATTCAAATTATTAAAAGTTCAACAAAAATAATCAGAACTTTATATTATTCAGTTTCATCATCATCGCCAATAGCACTAACCAATTTTTTTTTAATGACAATTCAACATTAGCATCGTATTCGAAATTTCGAGAAAATATCAAATTCAAAATTTTCATCAAATTTTTTTCTCATTGATATTATTTTTAACATCGAGGATATATTCCCATTTCATGATTGAGTAATTTGTTGTTGTGAAAAATCATCGTGCGGACAAATTTCTTTTCCTTTTTTTTTTTTTAACAACAATCGTAAAACTCACGGCCGTGCTAGTGAGAAATTGATTCGAAGCGTCGCGTCCCAGTTCGACTCTGCACAGATTCATTGTCAACTTTGTGATACGTGTAGATTTGAAACACGAACGAGTTGGCCGACCATCCGCACGATCGTTTGACGCTCTCTCTAACCCGGAGGGGGGTGTCGGTCAATCGAGCCGCGACGGAATTGCCTTTGAAGCTGCTCGGCTTCGTTCTAAACCGTAAACGAATGGCCACCTGGGTGCCAAAGATATCGGTTTCTTGTCATCGATGAAAACCCCTTGTAGATGTGTCCCCGCGGTGACAAAGAAACGGAGGCCTCCCGATTGTAACGTTAACGCCGTTTCGTAATTCGATTTCGCTGAATTTCAATCGCGACTGTAACTGCCCTGTTTCCAATTGGTACATTCCCAATGTGCTTAAATATTTGATTGTTTCTGTAGTTTTTTGAGGACTTGTGGTTAAAATGCAATGTTGCTAGTTTCAGCAGGAAGTTGAAATAGAAAACTCGGAGGAAACAAATAAAAGGAAACCGAGAGATTTTAATTAGTCGAATGTTGTTTATCTGTAGTGTTCAAATTGAATTTGATTTTTGGCCCAGGTTCCTCAGTATTTTCTATGCAATGGTCAAATGGACAAATTCGATTCATTTTCTTTTATGAGACATTCAAATCATACGTAATCAATTATGTATATAATTTTTAAAAGTTTTACGAAAAGAACACCACTGATAATAATATTCATCAGAAATAAATATCGTTGATTTTCGTGAAGCTTGAAAATATGAGGCACTCTTATTAAATCTGCGTAGATCTTATGAAATTTCTCGCGATAATATATTTTTGAAAATAGAATTCGATTTAATGTATAATCAATATAGCATCGATATATTTTCTAAAATAGAACATCTTATATCGTAGTAAACACTCATCGATTCTAATACGCGTAGTATTTCGATTTACAGACATGTTTTAATAGTATATAAAAAAAAGAATACTTCTATTTATCTGAAGAAACCAAACATTCCGCACATTTCTTGACATTATGTTATACATTTTTTTTTTTCATTAATATTACATTATACAGATTTAAATTTCTAAACAAATAAATGTATACACGTTTCGCTGATAAAAGTTGAAGTTTAGCAAGGAAAGCAAATGTTGTTCAATATGTTTGTGTCTCGAAAGTGTTTTAATAATTTATTTGTTGTAAATGCACAATATACTTTACGCAACAGTATAGTATGGTTCTCTGGGAATAGGTGGATATTAAACTGAAATACAGTATATGTATATGTGTATAAATAAATAAATATATATATAACAGTTGATACTGTTTCAGGAGTTTAATTGTTTCTGTTTTATTTCCAACGTCATAGAAACTGTAGATACTATCGCAGATCGTGTAACTCGTATATTTATATCAAAATTACACAGGCATGATTACTTTACATTGCGAAATATGTGTAAATATTACAGTACTGGAAACCTCTGATAAATTGACGTCGTATGTAAGACTGCCAATTCTTTCACATTTCGCGAAGGAATCAAGTATCTTTTAATCGTGGACAATAAAAATGCATATTTCGCAATATTGTTGTAAAGAAAATCTAATAAAGAATAAAATTTAATTGTGGACAATAGAAATGCATATTTCGCAATATTTTTGTAAAGAAAATCTAATAAAGGATAAAATTTAATTGTGGACAATAAAAAATGCATATTTCGCAATATTTTTGTGAAGAAAACAGTGTGCACGAATAATTTTCTTCTGAAACAGATATCATGTACCTGTTGTTCGGTTGTTTCATAATTGTTATTAATAATAAAAATCTGTTTCTGTAAAGTAGATACATATAACCCACTAAAAACGGAGCCATTTTTATTTATCCGAAAGGTATGACTTATTCACAATTATTAATAATTTACTGAGATATAACTATTGAAACAAGATAAAAAAAAAAAAAATTCGTCCTGTCGGCTTACTTGAGCAATAAATTTAGTGTTCTTTCGCGTTTCTTTTTCTCAAATTCCATCGTCCATTCGTTTGAATTGAATTTTATCTCTTCTTTGCCGATTTCACGTCCTTTCCGTGCCACTCCGTTCGGCAGCATTTCCCTCAAACGTGATGAAATATATTCGAGATAGAGGGGCAGCGTATCAGAACAGAGATTCGGTAATAGAATTCGTGGACGGGCGGGATCGCGGTGGTTTGGCCACAGAGTCGCGAATATTTGGGCCAAGTCCAAGGGTCAGGCCGACCCGTGCACCGCGTTACGGTACTTAGGAAAGCTCTGCTAATTGTATTAATGCTGGTTGGTTCGCCCGGATCAAGACCCCCGTTGTTATAATCCCACTGTAAGCCATGTTGCTCGTCTGCCATATCTATCGTCGAGATGCGATCCGTTTAAATGTTTCCATTCGCTGCATCTTCGTCCGAACGACTTCCTTGGCGCCGACCAACGCGGAAATTATACGTATTTCGTCGTTTAAGAGTCTTGGAATGGAACGTTATATTCGGTGGGAACCTAGAAAAGAATAGGTTGTTATTGAAAGCTGTAGCTGTGTTGTACATTGCGAGCCATTGAAATATATTTTACTGTATTTCGCGCGCAGTTTAGCGGGAAATGTATGGATAATTTTATCAAAAGCTTAGCGTAGT